CAGAACCTGGGACCAATCAGTCCGCAGGCCGACGCTCTATCCACTGAGCCAAACCGGTTAGGGCCAGAACAAGCTTCTTGCAGGTCCCTCTCCCACCACACCTCCAACGACAGAGCTGAGGCCCTCACGGGTCTTTGACTGGCTGGTTCCCAGGAGCCAGGGGAGGGCCGGGGGTGTCCAAATGCTTGAAAATCAGTGCCCTTTGTATTGATCGCAGTGTGAGCCCACACATACCTGTTACCTAAACGCTGTCTCTGGGTGTTCTTTTCCAGGGCGAGGAGAAACGTCTTCCGAGGAAGAGGAAGTGTGGGACCAGCTTCGCCTTTTTCGTGTCATCTTTCAAGCTTCGTTGATCACCTTTAGAAATGCCCTGCCCACTATCTTGCTTCATCCCTCTGTCACTTGTGAAAAACAGAGAAAAAATGCGGCCTAAGCACCAATAAAGGAGCCCCAAAATGAACCCGGGCTGCCCTAGAAGGAGAGATGTGGTGAGGGACGTGAGTGTGTGGTGGCTGCGTCCCTGAGATGCAGGTGCGGTGGGGAGATGAGATTGTCAGCCCGGGGAGCCCTGGCAGTGAGTACAGCCTCATGCTTCTTTCTGGGGAAATCACAGATTTGGGTGGAGCATGCGTAGGTACTTATGAAATCATTAATAAATAAACGAGTAAGTAAACGAAGGGTAGACAATTCATTGCAAAACTGCCTGAGTGACTCCTTCCCCGTGACCGTGGCAGACATCAACAATCGATTACAGACTCTGTTTCCCAGATGCAACCTCTTGTTGTCCTTCCCCTCCCCTCTCCTCTCCTCTTTTCTGCCTCTCCCTCTCCCTCTTTTTTTAAAAAATATGTGTTTATTGATTTTCTTTTAGAGAGAGTGGGAGAGGGGGGAGAGAGAGAAACATCTGTGTGAGAGAGAAATATCAATCAGTTGCCTCCCACAATCACCCTTGCTGAGGGAATTGAGATCCTGGGCATGTGCCCTGACCTGACAGGTGACATTTCAATGCACAGGATGGCGCTCAACCAACTGAGCCGCACTGGCCAGGGCCCCCTTCCCCCTCCTCCCCTTCCTCTCCCCCTCCTCCTTGTCTTCCTCCCCTTTCCCTCCCCTTCCACTCTTCTTTTACTCCTCTTCCTTCTGCCCCTCTCCCTCTCTCCATCCCTCTACCCGTTCTTCCCCTCCCTATCCTCCCTCCTCCTCTACTCCAGCTGATCCAACCACCCTGCCTCCTCCCCCCATTCTCTTGCTATCTCACCACCCCACTTTATCTTCCTCAAAGCACCTTCCTGATCTGAACTCCTCTTAAGTAATGATTCTTTTCCTCTCCCCTCACCCTGGACTGTAAGCTCCAAGAAAGCAAAGGCCTTGCCGCTGGGCTGTCTCCAGGACCTAGAATAACCCAGGTTTATAGTGGGGGCATGCGCTGGCCAACACAGGAGCTATTAGCCACACAGGAGACACAGGTGGGGAGGTCCGATTCATAAGATTCACTGAACTCATTCATAAATAAGATCAACAATTTATGAATGAAATGTTATTAACTTCATACAATAAAAAAAGTTTTAAATCTGTTTCTCCGCCTCACGCATCACGAGGCAGGATAAAATAGAAGCTCCTGGAGGTCAAGTCCCTTACCACTGCTCTACTTCCCTCACCTGACACTGCCAGGCACACAGTAGGGACTCTGAAAATATGAT